CTTATGAGAGCAGAGTAGAAGGGGAGAATCACCTTTGACCTGCTGCTAATGCTTGCTAAAGCTTGTACTTGAGCTACAGTGTTAAATTTATTTGTATAAAATATTTGCAGGTTCGTAGTACTTGAAAAATGGACAATTCAGTAGATCAGTTGAAAGCAAGAAAGGAAAATAAGTTGAAATTAAAGAGGTGATATAATTGTCCAGTTTCTCAGTTTCAGTGCATGCACATATACAAGTGCTAAATGGATTTAGTGTGCTCAGGGAATACTAGTGAGGGAATTAAACTGTGAATGAAGCCCTCAGTAAGACACTGAATAATTATGCACTGTTCCATAAATGAGCAGGTTGTAATACTTTACCCTCAGACTGGAGACTTAAACTGGAATAACTGATCTGGAGGTGTTCTGATGAAGCAATGCAAGTTATATTAAAGCAGATAATGATAGATAGAGGACTTCAAAGAGAAATTTAGGGAGACTTGTAGATTGGAAAACAGCTTTTATTTTTTAGATGTTAATAAATGCTGAAAAACAGAGCTGAAGCTTTATTTGATGCTGAGTTTCATTATTTCTACTTGCTTTAAGTTGGACATGCTTGGATCAGCATGCCCTAAACCAGCACTCTTTTTGACAAGGCACTACAGACCATTGCCGCTCTGGAATATATATTCTATGAGTCAGTGGTAACAAGATCTTAACTTCTCCCTGCATGTTTTGCCCCAACACTACCTCTAGGGAAGGAAGAAGAAAGGCAGCAGCAGGAGCTGCGCTGGCCTTGCAGCACCTCAGCAGAATGCTTGGGTGTCTGGAACCAGCGAGTCCAGCAGTGTGGGCTCAGTCTTGGTGGCCCTCTGCATGAACCAGAGCTGTAGTGTTTCGAGGGTGGTCACTGGGAGGAGGTAGAGTGACGCAGTGGTTTTCAGAGGTCTTCTTTCCCTGGTAAATCTGTCTGACCACAGAAGTCGTGAGGTGGGGGGTAGGGAGGTTCTTATACATAGGTGAGAAATGCAGTAAAATCAGGCAAGGGTTGACACTTATATAATCCAATACTAGCAAATGTAAATTTGGCAACCCTTCAGATACTCAAATTCTAGATGTTGAAGTAATTAGGATTTTACAAATTGATGCTGTGTTCCCTAACTACAGGAGAAAGCAGTAAGCAGTCTGTAGAAAATCTGTATGTGCCAGTGAAGTCAGTATGTAATAGTTTCATACTCCATTTGCCAGGTTCATCTTTAGTCACTGGTACTGTACTGACACTTAAGAATTTTTCTGGTATAATCTTAGAATCAAAAGGAAGCTGATTTGCTCAGGAAAAACTAAATGCCTGTGCTTGACTAACAGATCACTTGACAAAGTATGTGCTTTGTAGTGACCACCATTTTGGTTTTGGCACTTAACTGTGGCACCTTGTCCTCCCTTATTGTAATGCTTAACATGAAGTAGATGAGAGATGTTTGTTTCAGTAGCGTCCCTCCCATTTCCTGATTTTTGTAGCTAGTGTACTTCCATACTGGAAGCTGTCACTCGTATGGAAGTGGTCACTCAAAGATCTGACTTCTAGATGTTATACATAGTGATGCTAGAACAGACAGCATTGTGTAGGTGTTGGAGCCTATTGAGCAGGCAGTTCTCATTAAATCTCTTAGCCTGGTCCTCTGACAGCACTTTCCTCCTCTGTCATGCTGCAGGTGTCTAGTTTTACCGAAGTTCTGACCGATCCCATCACTTGGCTTTTGCAGTAGCTAATGTTTTAAGTTTCTTTGTTAGATTTCAACACCTCCTGGCTCAAGGATTTTGATTCAGTTCACTCATGCTAGCCAGTTGAAAACTTGCTAAAGCTTGTTTCCCTGGTTTCCTGGAAAATATTTTGGGCTCATTATATGTAAGTCTGAATATTCTTTCCAACTCATTTTGCTCACTTCTGGCTGGATATTTGCTTCTGAGTGTCAAATGAAGTTGATGTCTTTTTAAAGCTTATGATCACCTGTTTTTATTTTCAACAGATTTTGGTCTGATTTGTCTTCAGGGACCTTTCTAAGTATCCAGATGTTGTAATTTGTTTCTTCAGTTTCAGCAGATGATTCAGCTTTGACTCTTCCCATGGAAGTCTTCCCGTTCCTAACACAGTGATACTACTTTTTTTGACTGTTTTATTTTAATACATGGTTTCCCTGTGATGAGGTCAGTGGTAGTATGGGTATGTGCTGTGAATTTTTACTGTCCAAGTAAGGCAAGACTACTTTGTTTAGAATTTACTCTGGTTTCAGCTTGATTTGTTTCAGCTGATGATTGTCACTTCCAAGAGAAACTGAATTGGATCTTTCAATGAACTAATTTGAATAAATGAACTAATCAGCAAGCATTATCTCATCTGTAGAGCTGATCATACTGAAATCCATTTGTAGCTAATAGGACAGAGACTGCTATTGGAGGGGCTGCAGTATTTGTTAACCATCAAAAAATGAAGCTCTTCACTGTGTTCACGGAGGCTGTGAGGATTAGAACTCTCCAGGAGGTTCAAGTACATCAGTTAGTGGAACGTTTCGGTGCTCTGCCTGCTTATTTCTGCATTCTGCTCCTGGTTTTGTGCCTACCTGCTGCCTTGCTGCTCTCTTGTCAACTGTACTGGTGCGATTGTTCTAACACATTGACTCACAAAGATCAGGTTTAAAATCATTTCTCCCTTCCTCTTCTATAGGGTGGTTATCGAAACCAAATCAGTTACTAGTCCTGTTAACCATGTTTGTTAAAATAATCCCCCCTTCCAGTCTTATTGTGCTGCAGGATCCACTGCTGTTGCAGAGAAGTTTGATTTCAGGTATCTTAATTTTATTAGATAGCTATATTAAATATATGACTCCTCTTCTGCATCTTGGCCCTGTTGCTTACTGTCACAAATAGTCTCATGGAGGTAGTGGCAAAGTATATTTTTCTGTTACATGGTTTTTTGGGACTCTGTGAAATAGTTTTGCCTGGGAATATTTTCTGACTGCTGATTCTAAGAAGTTTTCTAAAGTAACACTGTCAAAAAATAACTTAATTTCAGACTTTCTGCTTTCCTTTTATTTTTCGGTGTTGACTTTACCCTTGACAAGAATAATAAGAAAGAAACTTTATTTTAAAGCCATATTCAGTAGTGCAGTCTTTGATCTAGAGGCAGATATCGTCTGACATCAAAAGTACCCTTGATCTCAGCAGGACTGAAATTC